ATGAAATGCATAGCCATGCCAGCGGCACGGATATAGTCCAGATGGCGACCATCCCTCAACTACAGTTAATAATGTTAACAGCGTTCAGGGAAAGTCGATAGGAACGTGTTGGATTGTCCTGTGGCCACCACTCTAGTGTACACAGCTATACATTTTGCGATCTGCATTTTGGACGTTCATTTTAGACAGTATGGATCATATTGTTTATGTACTGATGACATTATGTTATATATGTTGGTGACGATAGCCCCTTTATGGTAAACATCCTCTCAAAGGCGTCCAGTGCAGTTTTTAGGGCTTGGAAACCCGATTTCTCAAAGTCAATATTCTAGTCACTTATCTACATACTGAGTTGAGTTGAAACTACACTGTCCCATTGTATATTGAACCACCCTCATGGAGCAAAAATATCCAAACTTCTAATGGAAAATGGTTACTGGAAGGGCCCTTTGTTGATTCTTAGGGTACCACCCATAAAATAAATTACTCATCTAGGGGCTTGTTTCTGCAGTTTTAAATGCCCAAAGTATGAAATGCTGGCTCAACTGTGCTAATGTGAAGTAGTATGTGTCAATGTCACAAAGACTGCCTCATTCAGAATCTTTCCATTTTTTCTGCCCTGAAATCGCATTGGTTCCCCTTAAGGTCCCGAACATACGCGCATATCCGACCATCAGTAGATCGATGTTTACCGACGGCCTGAGACCGCCGAGCTTCCGCTCAATATCTCTAATTTTGCTGAAACACGGAATATATGGCCCTCACGGTGTCCCTGCCGTTTTATAAACTGTACCGATGCGTGATGTGTAACCTGCGCACGTACAGCCGATACCGGACCCGCTGCCGTGTGTATTGACTTCTGTACATGGAAGACAGTGGATGCCAATCGTAAAATAATGGTCTTCATACCGTTACTATTGATGTTGACTTTGTCTTTTGTAAAGTCGTGAAATGCTTTCCTTTTAGTAGCAGAGAAAACAACGGTTACTGTAATTCACTTAATATTCACAGTAGCAAAATTTCACGCAACTATATGTTTGTCGGTGGCAGCAGGTGCAGAGAAAAGAAAGTCTAGGTATTATTTGTTAACTGTAATGATAAGTTCACGGTACAGAAGTGACAGTAAAAACAATGAACATAAAAGTACAGGGGAAAAAATCAGCAATTACAGTATTTCCCTTGCCTCTTGAATCCCCAGACATTACAGTTAATGCTACCCGCATGCAATAAAACAAGGTCTTCCTGCAATTGCCCTTAATTAAGCTAATTGCGTGCTCATTACAGGTAATATGAACCATCAGCGATAATGGCCCCGCGATGATTAAATCGAACCTGGACTTTAGATTAAACTTCCCCGAGCTATGATGGGATCAACGTAATTCCAGCGACATTGACAATTAATGATCGCAATTCTTTTGATGAATCAAGATGATTCTACTGGATTGGGAAGTAACATGCCGACAGCGTAACTGCTTCTGAATGGCTGTCATGGTTAGATGGATTTGTCCTTGGTCTCTATTGCCTTTTTTGTTTTCCCACACAAAAGCAAGAGTGAAGGGATCTGTTGTTGAATTACAATATGTGTTACTCCGTATGTGGGGCCCCCTTGGGTTCCCCTGAATCGGTGAGCCTGTATGATCACCCTCCAGTGTAACGCACTAGCGTGGCGGGCACGCTGTGGTGACTGTGTATTACGTACATAGCGACATTTTGCACCCATGTCATTTATATCTATACTATGTCATACAGTGTAGCGACTGACACGTTCATCTGTACATGAATCTGTATCTGTACATGAATCTGTATCTGATTGCAAATAAGGATCTCGAGTGATTGCCATACTGTGTAAGTTTAAATAAATTGTTAAATAATGAATATTTAGATAAAGTTTCTTAGATAATGTAAAAGAATAGATATATGTCCATGAGTAACTCCACAATTGCTCACTCTGATATATATATATATATATATATATATATATATATATATATATATATATATATATATATATATATATATATATATATATATATATATATA